TTAGGAGTATTCTGCTCCTTAGCATAAATTAATATTGTGTCAAGAACAAGGGTTACATGTATTGATTCAGAAAATTCAGGAAGTTAGAACAGCAGATAGGGGGAGGGAGGGTGTTTGAAAAAGAGAAGGGGAAAGGGTTATTATACTGTATATCCCATCCAAATTTGCCTGGAGATGATGTCATGCTTCTCAAAGCAGTATTCATACTAAACACTATGGAGCCCTGTCTGTGCAAACTGTTCCTATGCTACACTGCATAGCATGTGAGTATCAGAAAACAATATACTCTAACAGATCAGCTTGTGCCTGGTGGGTGGGGTTTTCCTGAAAATATCTGAAAAGGAAGATTTGATAGCATTGTCTGAGCAAGCCTAGCTCGTTCATTAATGTAGTAAAAATTAACTAAACTTACCCAATCCATCACACATCTACCAGGTACAAAGTGTGACTCATCATGCTATTGCATCCTGAGCTATCACAGTTGACTCCATTCTGGGTAATACTGAATCGAAGAACATTTTTCCCTTCAGGGTTGCATTGTTTGTTATCCTTTGGTTGAGTCTATTGTTGATTTAGGTAGAACGTGAGTGATTATATGAGCGAGGGGAAATTAGCCTCATCTACTTTGCACTTCATTCAAAGCACCCAAACGAATGAATGATAGTCTGAATGTTGCACGTGGCATTACAAATCTTCAGAAAGCATTTTTATTAGTAACTATTTTTTTTATACTTTTTGAGTGACACAAGAACAATTTCCTGAGATTTATATATCAGATTTGTAAGTTGATTTCAATCTATTGTCATATATGGGAGAAAACATCCTTTGGGGGAGTCTAACATCAGTGGGCATGCATAGACAAAACGGGGGCCCTAAACTGAAGCAGTGGGTTTTAAAAAACACCGCTTCAATTTAGGTCTGATTAAACCTTGTGTCATATGTGCCCCTCTGGCAGGAAAGGAGGGAGAGCTGCTGGCAGGTAGAGCAGTCCCTGGGCTGCAGGGTGGGGCTGGTGCTTTCCTCCACAGCAGCAGCCGCCCGTAGGCACCTGGATCAGGCAGTCCTGGGGTGCACTGCAGCATGGAGAGAAGCACCGGGCCCCGCACAGCTCAGGCAGGCAGGCAGGGAGATCAGGTTCGCCACTTCTCTTGGGCGGAGTCTGCTTTCCTGGGCTGCTGCCAGGCTGCCTGCAGGGGTTCCTGCAGAGCTGTGGAGCTGCATGGAGCCTGATGCTTCTCTCCGTGACTGTAGGGGCAGAAAACTAAACCTCCTTCAAGCAGTTTTAGTTTGCTGCGCCCCAAGTCATTTAAGTCACATTACGCCGCCGAATTTCCTACAGCGGCTGGAATTAATGCACAATATGCCAATGAGGCATACAAACACCAACAGCATTAAAGCAGTGCAAAAACATTTAGCCCACACTAAAGTGTCATGCACACATGCCTCTCATTTTGTCTACACACGGCCAGTATGTCCAAGTTGATTTTCTTGATCTTCAACTTTGGCATTGGCAGTTGCAACTTATGTGGATTTATATTTCTCTCCTGTTTTACCGCAAAGGTAACGTAAGTGTAACCTTCGCCAGCCCGCTAGGCCAGGTGATATGCCGGATTCTGGATCCTCAAGGTGCCAGTAGCCCTGGGATCTCCCTCAGGCAGATCTGCTGACTGAGGCATCCTGTGGAGGGGTGTGTCCCTCAACCTCACCACCCAAGAATCTACTTCAAGCCCATTCAACAAATGGGTTTCTTTATTATACACAACTATATACAGAAAAGAAATGATTAATCAAAAGAAATATATCTATATTATCAATAGTTAATAATAAAACCAACAATATGAGTGCTATCTACAAATGCAACATTAAGTGATTAGTCCAACACAGTGAGTGATCCCACTTACAGGAAACCATCAATAATTACATTCACCAGGTTACAACCTTTAAAACACAGTTTCCCTAGGATTACAACCCGCTCCTCTTGCAATAAATGGCAATACCATTGTTGCTATGATCTGCCACTAGATAGTGTGGGTGAGGCTCCTGTAACTCCTGAGGCTCTGAACTCCCTTCCTCAGACTGGCTTTCACACTTGAAACCTGTAGTCTGGTGATGCGGGCAAATGGCTTTCTTTTATCTCTCCTGAAAATAAACTGCCAGCATATGTTGTGGGGTTAAGTGTCTCCTCACACCCCCCTGAGGTTTGCATTTCCTCAGCTATTCCTCCTCTAACACCATCTCCCCTCCCAACACTTACAGTCCAGCACAGGGATTTTGTGCCCCCAGTAGGTCCTCTGTTCCTGCAGCCCTGAGCCCTCCTGGCTCAGATGGGGCTCCCACCCACTATGAATGGGTTCTGACCCTGCAGTTTCTCCCAGCTCCTGGACAGCCTAGCAGCTGTGGCTGACCATTCCCTTTCCCTGTGTCCTGAAGCTGCACAGCAAAACAGCTCCTTGTGGGGCAAAACAGGCTCTCCCTCATCCTGGTATCAGCGCCCAGAGCAAGTTTCAGTTTCTGTTCCAGTGGGGCATCTCTGCCACCTCTTTGTCCAGGCTGGAAGTGGATCCTCCTCTTCCCCTTTTCTTGCATTTCAGTTGTTTTATGGTGCAAGCACAGCCAATTAGAGCCCTCAGTTTGTAGCAGCAGCTCCAGTCACAGCGCAAAACGTCCAATAAAATGCATGCACGGTGCACAGCATACTTTCCACCTTGGAAAAGCCATGGCACCTGGTGCAAACATTTGCCACCCTTTATGCAAAGGGTCTCAAACACGGCATGTCCATCGAGCTTGCAGCCCAAGAGCTGTGCAGCTGTTACATTAGGAAAGAGAATGAGTCTTTTTCTGCCTAAATCTGATTTGCATAAGATCACCCAAAATATCTGTGGAACATTAAGTTCTACAGAACTTTTTTGTTGTTGTTTCTTGATAATTCTGTTTCAGATCAGAGACCCATCCAATATATTACATTTTAGTTTGTCTAGTTGACCTCATATCTTTTACCCAGTTACCTCTCTTTTGAGACCAATACGGGAGCATATCTCCCAAAAGGCATCCAGTGTTGATTTGAAGACATACAGGAATAAGAACATGGAAATGAAGGACTGGAATTGTCTGTCTGGGCCACCCTATTGCTATCTCTTCTTTGTTTGTGTGTTTATTTGTTTTTCCAGTAACTAACAATCCTTAGTGTTAAAATATGCATCTATTTTTTCTATTAGAATATTTCTGGGTTCAACTTTCAAACAAGTTGAAATAGTAGTGCATTAGCAAAATAATGGATAGGGCACACTTTAATCATATTAGCACATTTTGATGACTTTCTGTTCTTTTCTACAATAAGCATTCTGTTGTACGAGAACACTTTCCATTTAATTTGGAGAGGAGGCAGTCGGGTCAGCAGGGCTGGGGGAAAGAGGAACAGGGGGATTTCATTTTAAATAGAAAAGTAAAAGAAAAAGGAAATAAGTATTTTCTATTAAAAAAAAAGACCTCACATGTTCAGATGTCCGTACCACGTATAAGAATGGAACAGATTCCATATTCAGTTCAACTCCATTTAACATGTTTTTTGGGAAAGAAATCTCTCTAGGTGCCTAAAAATATTTAAGTGATTAAAATGGCAGCATGGAAACCAACAGTATCGGGTCACAGTTAAACAGAAATGTGTATTAATTCAAGTCAGGAAAAGCTTTGCCATTGTCTTTGATGAAAGCAGAATTGAGTCAAATGCAACCCTAATGTAAGTTAGAAAATATGGTCTTATTCCAAATCACAACATATATGAGCAAAGCATGCAGTTCCATTGGAATGGAAAATATAATAACCAGAAAAGATAATGAAGATGCTGTCAGCTTCGTGATCTAACCCATTATTACTCATATTTAGAAGACACATTTTAACTCTAAACGGTTGCGAACAAAATGGTCTTCCCACACTTATTTTAATTTCTGACAAATACCAGTTCATATTACAAAAAATTGTTTGCTTCATGGTTTGCATTACATGATCACATGAACAGTAGTAAAATTGATTTATGCCATATTAAGTCAATATTTATATTTATTGTAAGAGAAGAAGATGGCTTTAATGCTATTTGCACTGTGTATTGCCTCTCCCTCCTAGAGGAACGTAATAAGTATGTGTGTGTGAGGGTGTGTGTGTATCTGTAAAATATATTTTAGACGTATATGACAAATACGCTCTTGTGACTTTATTCTTTAATAAGTATTTTATGGTAAATAATTATGGTTTTATTATCATGGTAAGTAATAATTTTCCTTTTATTTCCAGGCTGAATAAAGCATGTTTTCATACAAGTCATGACTATTTTGTGGATGGTCTCATATCTGGCACTGTTGCAACATCTATTTCTCCTCCTTAAATTTGGTGTTTTTAATGTCCTTTGACTTATTAACAGGAAACAGGATTAAACCATAACAGAGTTGACTGGTTTGTTTCTGTCCCAAAGTCTTGTGTTTAAATTGTCCATTATCTTCTTTTCATTGATTCCATCTTAAATTACGGTTGTGGCTAATATTTAATAAATCCTTAACCAGAATGACTGACAAAACGACAGATCTTTTCAGATTGTTATTAAAGATGACAGTTTTAAAAGATAAGAGAAATAAATAAATAAGACCATGCCTGCATTTCTTTTAAATAAATAATTTGGTTGATTTTAACAGTGTTGTTATTTTTGTTTGTATTATTACTTTTTAATAGCACAATTATTTTGATTTTGGCAGCAATCACTTTTAACTATATAACTACATAGTCTCAGAATATACTAGAATATATATTTTTTCAAATAATATTTTGAATTTATTCTTCTTGACGTTTTATGTTTTTGTGCAGCTTGCATCTTTTTGTTTTTCAAAGTAAAATGTAACAGATTTTGACTTCTTGGGTTACATTTTTTTCTTTTTCTTTTTTTTAATTTTTGAGAACCTGCTGTTTTTGAATTCTCTTTTTTCCCTTTATTCTCTACCTCACTATGACCCCAGGAGCCAACACAAAGAAAAGCGCAGATGATATAACCAGTAATGATCGTGGTGAAGATGAAGGTATTTTTTGTTTTATCAAAGCTCCACCCTGATGCATGAACATAAACTTTTTTTTTATTATTAACATTATTTAAATGAGCCCCCCCTTATTTGACAAAGCACACTTTAGAGTGCTTTTTTATTTTCTTCTTGTTAGAAAACTACTTTCATTTTTCCTTTTTCTTTTCTTTTTTAAAGCCAAATTAGCATATAGATGACTGCAGCTACCTTGTAAGATAAGTGTAAAGATTATCCTTAAATATATGTGAAGTAACATAAATATTATTTACAACCATTTTTCCCCCCTCTTCCCCTGATAGGGTGTGAAAATAGAATTTAAAAACATGCATGTGTTCCCTTTCCCTTCTTTTTCTTTCCCATTTTACATTTTGTTCACATTAAATTCATGAAATATCTCACGTTTTCTCCTTCACAACGCACATACTGTATGGTGGATGCAGTTGTTTTGTACCTCATCTTTGACATTTTTGCTTCATTTTTTTCTCACAATACAGGATTTATTTCTAGGACACAAAAATAAAGGAAGCTTGTTGGTGCTGCTGCATTGTTTTCTTCTTTAACTACCCAGTATCTCAGTCATGTTAAATGTAGGTTTGACCCTGCTCTCATTGAAATCAATGGCAATCTTTTCATTGACTTCTGTTAGAGTTGGATCAGCTCTCCTGAGAAGAAATGTTAAAGTTCAATGTAAAATACCTTAAAAGTTTGACAAAGAGATACATTGTTTCTTTCTTTCACACAGAAGCATTTTAGAATCTTTCAAATTTGTGGGAGGATGATCATGTATAACAGCTCTCTCTATACTTATCCTTGTTTCTTATTTAACGATTAAATTGACAATCAGTTTTTTTTTTTATGGACATCAGAGTAAAAAACAAACAAACCAAGAACAGTAATATATTTCCCAATTAGTCATTTATATTATTGTCGCTGATAGTTTATCGTTTCTGCCAAGAGTTCTGAGAGCAGAGAAATTTAGCTCAAATTTACCTTATGCCTAGCAATTTCTAAGTGTTAGTTCATCTTCCTCCTGTGGCTTTGTATCTGACACTAGCTAAAATAACATTGCAAGATTTGCCTTCTCTATTTCCTGTAGAATAATGTATACCCCAAGATGATAACCCCTTAATCTAGTCTTTTCTAGGGGGTTCAGACCTACTGCAGCTGCTCTAAGTTTTCAAAGTATAGGAACAAAGTCTCTGGTCCTTGTATCACACTGTTCCCTCCACTATACTTTCTTCATTGTTATAGTATTTTGTCCCCTTAGGCAAAAAGCACTGTATGCAGTACTCAAAGAGCGGCTTTTCCTATCATTTGAATAAAGCCTTCTCTAGAAATCCGTTTTTAACTGATAGTATCATCACTCGTTACACAAGATACTATAATTAAAAAATTCAATTAAAAATTAAAAGAGGAGTTGTTTTAAAAGTTAAATAGAAAATTATGACTTAAATAGTTCAGTATCAGGCCCTAGGAAGCACCTGATAAGTAAAGATTAAATAAAACAAATTATTTTATCAGGTTTTATGCTTGTTGGATAATATGAATCATTTTAGCATAAATTGTGTTTCCAGGCTAATCTGAGCTTTGATGCTATATTTCTGGTACATATTAAACTTTAACTGATATTCTTGAGAATTTTGAATACATTAGGAAAAGAAGGTTAGACCCTACAAATACAACTGTGCACAATTTATTTTCTTAATAGCCATATAATAGATAAAAGAGATACATTTTACTCTTATAAGATTTCTTGATGTGGTATGGTTAAGTGGCTATCCTTATAGGCATTTCTTTTTCAGTGACTATATAAAAAAAGAAAAGAATAGTCATTTATCTCCAAGTAAGGATGTTTGAAATCAAATCATTGGTTAATGTCTTATCTGGTATGCAGTTCTTCATAGAGATATACCTCAACAAATAGATAGTTATTATCACAACTGGCATAACTGCAACCTCATATAAGTGTTATCCTTCACTACCTTAGTCTCTGAGTACCTCCCAATCACTAAGAAAGTATCTTCATAAGCCACTATGAATTCTGGGAATATTATTTTCTCCTTTATTCAATAAATTGGCACCCAGAGCTCTCCAATAGCAGTGCAAAGCCATGACACACATATGTCCCAGTCCTAAACAGACCTAAGAATATAATCCAGAACCCGTGAGGTCTAATCTGATTCCTAAACACCTTACACAAAATTCCTCTTGACCTTATTTTGATAAATGACACTAAAGACTTAATTTGACTTGGCCATAAAATGTTGATGATGAATTCAAGATATATTATATTGACCCTGAGACAATTTCAAAGAGTTGATAGTTTGCTATGCTCAGTTTTTATCAGGAAAAAATGTTGACATGTTGCATGCTATTGAAATGAGACACACAGATTTATATTTTCCGCAAAGTTGTTTCTCCCAGTTGGTGGGGAAATGGAAAGACTTGAAATAATGATTTTATTTTACATTTTAATGTATTTTTTTCTGGTTTGCCTAGAATTTTATGTTAAAAATATTCTAATAATGATCCCAGTTATTCTGCCATATTTTTTCTTTAGGCTCCTCATGTACCCTACAATTAAATTCCTTATTACCTGTCAAGTATTCCCAGCGTTCAAAGAACATTTTCTATGAAATTGTACTTGAAAGTGACAAACAGACATCAAAAGAATAATTAAACCAACAAACCCATTGAGCAAGTGGTGTCTTTATTGAAAAAAGGGGGAGGAGAATTACCTGACTGAACAGATGGTGATGAAATGGAAAATAAGGGGGAAAAAGAAACAAGCATTGTTAACATTTTTGTAAAGCACAACAATAGCCATTTTTTTTTTTCAATATTTGTTATTACTTTATTGTGTTTTCCCTACTTGGCTTTTTTCAGACATTCATGACCAGAACAGCAAGAAACCGGTTATGGTCTACATCCATGGGGGATCCTACATGGAGGGTACTGGCAACATGATTGATGGGAGCATTCTAGCAAGCTATGGAAATGTCATCGTTATTACCCTCAACTACAGGCTAGGGGTTTTAGGTAAGTGACTCATTTCTTAAACAGAAAAGCAACAAACTTACATTAGAGTAATTAGATGGATTTCCATTAAACTACATAATTTGATGGATGTGTTTTATTGCCGAGTGCATCTATGGATTGATCTCAACTCCTTTTGAGAGCACTTGGACCAATTTTGTCTTGTAAAATAGCATAGTCTTGTGGGCAGATAGCTCCCATTTTAATTATATTGCCTATATTGATTTAAGTCTGAATCCCTTTGGATATTTTATGGAGATTTTGGTACCTAAATAGTCTTGAGTCTTCTGTTGACTGTTGTCTTCACCTTAAAACTGACTTGACTTTTTAATAGCTTTATTCCCAATATTAGAATTTTCATCAGAACCTCATTTATTTTGACTAAGTGACTTACCCAAGGTTCCAAATAGTAATTTCCTGGTGTCCAGTGCCCCATGACAGCTTGTGCTGGTAAATAATCCTGCACCATGGAGGGGGTGGAGAATGATGCTGAGGGGCCAGGTCTCTGCAGCCCACAGACCCTTGTGAGAAGGGAGAGTGGTACAAGATAAAGGTTTATAATGCAACTTTTCCCCCCAACCACTACTCTCCTATGTATAGGAAGCCCATAAATAAATCAGTCTCACTTGTTCCTCTGTGCCAGCTGGGGGAAGGGTTGTGTTGAGGGATACTGTTTTTCACTGATAAAAAAAAATATCCCCAATTTTCAGATTTAAAAAAGTAACCCCAAGTCCACATTTTCCCCCAAATCCACTTTTCCATGATTTTATATATATGTGGTGTTTCATTTTAATCGTGGAAAAATGTAGTTTAGGGTTACTTTTTTTAATTTGAAAATTGAGGGTTTTGTTTTTTTATCAGAGAAAACCAGGATCCCTGGTTACATCCCTCTGCTGTCTTCTAACTATGCAATGGATGGAGGGAAGTAAGTGCTGGAAGTGTCCTGGCTTTGGTTTTTCAGACATGATTCGCATCATATTCATCCCTTTCTGTCCTGTTGCTCCATGTGTAATTGGGCCCCACCTCTTCAAGGGGATGATGACTGCTTCTTTGGAACATGGGGGCATTCTGGACTCTGTCCCTCATGAGTCTGATTCTGAGTTATCCCACCCTTGTGTGGTTGGAAACAGTTGTTTTGAGTCCCCCTTATTCTGCTTATGTGCTGGGGCTGTGCATGAGCCTGATCAGCCCTTGGTGCAATTCAGGTCAGTGTCAAGGCTTCTCTAACTTCTCAGTTTTCCATGGTCCTCTATAACTTCTAGAGGCGAGAGAATAGTATATAGTGTCTCCTCCATTTAACATATGAAGAAGGGAAAAATTAATCAAAGAAATAAAATTTAGCAGTACCAGGACCCATGTCATTGATTTTCGGGGAATAGGGTGGACAGGAGACCCCCTATTATAAAGCTGTCTTCCCAAGGGTCTTCCTCCTTCATGCTTCCCTTTGCAGGCCCCCAACCCCCTACATGCACTCATGCTATGTTGAGATTTGTTGTTTCAGTTTCAGAGTCACACAAAAATATATGCACTTTGGTGAAATTTATGATTTAGCTAAAAACATCTGCAGTGACAAGGAATGATATAAATTGTCCTTCAAAACAACAAGGAATGATTTTTTTCTGGGCGCACAAGTTAATTTGTTCAGGGAACTTACTTCTTATGTCTGCTGGAGAAAACAAGAGCAGTATCTTGCCAGATATTTTGACAGTACATGTAAGGTTGAGAAAAAATGGTTTTCCTCTGAGTCATGATATTAGGTCTATTTCCCCCCACCTTTTCTACCTCCTTCTTGATTATAGTATCTAATTGTTTGTCTCTTAGTATGCTGTACTCCTGATGCATTCATTTCAATTCTTTAAAGTAAAAAAGAGACAAACCATTGCTCATGTCTCAATGATCATGGGAAATAATTTGAATAACAATGATGTGGCATATAGTCTATATATTTATACTTGTTGCTCATATATATATCCAGCACTTTTGGCATACCAGGTAAGGCACAACGATATGTTTGGATTTAAAAATGTGCTTTAAAAGGGATATCTCTTTGGGGGGTTTTACCATGCATATATTTTTATGCACAAAAGGAAGCTGAGTTATGTTCTTTAGGTGTGCTTCTATTGAATAGAGAGAGATTATTTTACTTTTATGATTTGTTTATATGTTTAAGCACTTTCCACAGCTATTTGAAATAATGTAAGCTCCCAATATAGCTGTTATATGATTTGAAATATGAAGGAGTATTTTTTTTTTTTAAAACACCTCTAAAATTTAAAGCTATGAATTATCTAAAAGGCTTCAGTGGAATCTAGGAACACAGATGCACAACATTTATTTCAACTAGTATTTAAACATCTAAGGAGATGTCTACATGATGAAAGTAACCTGTCAGTGGGACTGCTCCCAAACATGCACCATCTAGCTGTTTGTACACTCCAGCCCCAGTAATACAGTAGGGAGGATGGTCTTGGTGTCTCTGCAATGCCTGAAGGCAGCACCTAGCGGGTGGCCTAAGCAAACCCACACTGGCTGGAGCAGGCTTCTAAGGAGGCATAAATGTGGCCTAAATGTCCATGCTACTTGGACGCATCCCTAGCACACACGTGGTTTGCAGTGCCTCAAAGCAGTTTGAAGCACCACAAACCACACATGGCACACGTGCAAGCATTCACCTCTATGCTAATTTGCAGCATGGTGGGGTTGTTTTTTACACTGGGAGATCCCAGTGTAAAAAAAACAAACAAACGCTGATGAATAAAATGGTGCGGTGCCCTTGGCAGCAGTGTGAGCCTCTGCACACTGGAGCCTAGCCAGCCAGAGCCACCCTCTGGCTCTTGGCCAGGCTCTGAGGGGCCAGCTTGGCACCACTGCTGCCCCAGGAGGCCCCCAGGACTCCAGGTAACGCTTCTGGTGCCAGCACAGGTGACATACCTGGGTCACTTTGCATGTGCCAGAGCACATGTGCAGGGACAGGTTCAGGGACAAATAGCAGCAGCACAAATATGTCCCTGACACACATTTCTGCTGCTGCTATTTGACCTGTGGGAAATGCATGCCCCTGCACATGCATGCTTGTCAGGTGTGCCCCTTGAGTTCCTGAAAATTCATTTATGCAAAATGTAGGCAGGTCCTCTTCTTTTAGAACTTAGCTTTAAGACTAAAATGAAGTCATTTTTAAAAAGTAGAAACACCAGTGTTTGTTTTTTTTCTTACAGGCAATGAAATAGGATGGAATTGATTTATACTTTGATGCCTATGTGCCATTTAGATGCCTAATATGTGGAACTGTCCTAAGGGTATAAATTGTGCAAAGTGCATAAACACAGGGATGCGGTGCTGTCTTCATATGCATGTGTGTAGAGGGGATGCAAACTACACTTCTAGATGTAGATAGTGTGTTTTTTGTGAGAAAGTATAAGTTACTGTGAAGCTTCTTCTGAAAAGCTTTGCATTCTGCTCTTCCAGTTTAAACTAATGAAGGGCACAGATGATCAATGAACATATTTAAAAATTGGTGCTTTTTCCATTGTGATACCTCAGGCAAAAGATTGAGAAGTGTGTGCCAGGTTTGCCTTTATAAATCCTGGCAATATCTTTTCAGTGATATTTCTTTTATCACTGAAACCACTTTTATCTTTTAAACCACTTTTCAGTGGTTTTCAGTGCCATAAACATTTCACGATCTGAGGAAAAGACCCAGCCTTTGGGCCTTGGATTTCAAGTAATGTAGTCAAGAGAGTGCTAGAAGATACCATGACAATGGGAAAGATAGTTCATGATTTTCAGACCCTGCAGCTTGTCGTTTTCTCTGTATTTTTCTACTTATTACATAAATGGGGTGCTCATGCTTAATGCTTGTATTGCCAAAAGGCACACCTGAAAGCTTATTTGCCCAACAAATACAGTGATTGGGATAAAGCAACTTACAGAGACAGGGATCATTACTGCTACTTGTTTCTCTCTCTCTCTTGGTGAATATCCCTAATACAGCTCTGGTGTGGGTTAGAAGGATATTTCTTCCTTCTGAGGTCAGGATTGGGCTTGTCAAAATCTACCCCAAAAAGAAGGACCTAGAAACAAAAAACATATATAGTGTTATGGCTGTCGATTCATTTTTTTGCTTCTACTTTGAGTTAGTAGGACTATTGCCTTCATAATTGTTACAGGTGAATTTCACGTCACTTAGAGTCACATACATTTGAAACCTTTTCAAAAGGGAAACATTGCAGAAGGGCAGCAGCTGTTCTGTTCTAACTGTTACATGTGGACAAGCTGGGAATGATACAAATATAGTAAAACCACTGCAGTTTTAACGCTGCTTTATCTAGCGTTAAAACACTGTAACACTTGGAACATAACATCTGCTGTCCTTACAGGTATGGGTCTCCATAACCTTTGAAAACATCAGTTTGGCTAGTAGATTAGGAGAAAGAAGTAGAATGGTGCTGTGCCAAAGCTTTGCTTCATCTCTTTTATATCAATGGCATTTTTGGGAAACAGAGGATACAGATAGGGCAGAAGATGAGGAGGGGGTTGAATGATCAGATTCACTATATTGTATTCTGCTATATTCATTATAGTTGGTTCCTCTCATGCTTAATCTAAATGTTTTGCTCAGGTAAGAAACAGCATCTCCCTTAGCTACAACTTTTCATGTTCGGTTCTTTTTTTCAGTGTTTCAAGGCACGGAAATATACAGAACGGGGATGGTTATTGTTATTGTTTTCCTGTGGTATGACCTGAAATGGCCTATGGTGAACCATGCATATATTAAGCACTAGACCATCTTGTGTAACAGTATAAATGAGGTTTGGTGAAGCCCAAAGTGGCTTTCCATTCACAAAATTAAGAACTATTATACATACTGTTATAGTGTTTAATTTAGAGATGGTATATGCAATGGTTTACGCAGCTGGAAAACATTCATTCAGCACTCTTCACAAAAGACAGTATAGAAGATGAAGTTGATGTTTGCACAAAAGACTGACTTGTTAAGAGCAAAA